AAACTTCAAAAAATGGCCTACCTTAACCTCTGATTACCAAATTAAAAAATTAAATCCAGTAAAACCTCTGCTCAAAAACATGGTAGAAATAACGGCGAAAAGGGGAGAGACACATTTATATTACAAGGAAAAATTTAATGGTGACAGCAGAATTCTTTTCTTTATACCAAAAACCAAATTATCCATGCTGGCTGAAGCTCAAGAAAACTCTGAAGATCGAGGTATTACCGATAAGAGAAAACAAACAATATTAACAAATCTTGGTGACATCATTCCTTTGCAAAAAAAAAAGTTTTGGAAGGACTTGGCAGTAAACAATAATTCGCGTAATCTCATAGAGCATATTGAGGATGAAGATTAAACATTTCAGTTTGAAATTTTTGGACATTTTTTTATTATTTAGTTTTATTTCTGTTTATGTATTGAAATATAAGAGAATTCTTATTTGTTTTAAAACTCTTTACAATATTTTTATGTGTTTACATTTATTATTTGAACTTCAATAAAACTTTTTTTGACTACTTTTAATAGTTATTATTTGTTTAACTAGGCAGATAAGTAACATATTTACTGCTGCGGCGAAGCCGAGGGTATGAAACTAGCCATGTCAGTAAATATGTTTCTCTGCTTTGTAAAACATACAATTTTTTCTCCGATTGTTTATACAGTCTGTTTTAAAAAAATGGATATAAAATGAAAACCTGTTAAGTAGGTATAAGGGTTATAACTCACACATTTTTAATATTTATTCTAATCGTATTTTATGATTTTTTATTAATATATTCTCCGATTGACATTAAATGTCTATTTCAGTAACATTTATTGATCATAGAAGTAGCTCTTTTACTGCATATGCAATAAAAATGATTTTAATGCTTGGGCAGTAAAAGTGTTACTTCGATGATTGAGAAATGTCACTAAAAGTGACATTTAATGACAATCCCAGAAAAAAATATATCAATTGTCCTTATTTTTTTTCTTTATAAGGTTTGAGGAGTGTTTTACGATCCCAATACAAACTCAGTTATTGAAATCTTCCTAATTTATTCCAAATCTCAAAACTCTACTGAATTTTTAAATTTTTTGAACTATGTTTCTTACTGTTAGTCTAAACTCTGCACTTTTCATGCCTATCAAATAGGTGAAATTTTCACATGCGACTTTTTTCGCTAGTATTGTTTAAATTACTTAAGGCAAATTGCCGTATGTGACTGACATGCGGCTTTTTTACTAGTGCTATTTAAATTCCATTAGACAAAATGCCGTATGTCACAGTTTTCTTACTTTAATAATTTAAAATCTATTATATTTTTATAATTTGTCAAAAACCTTTGTTATTAGACCAAAATATAAATTGCCCTTTAATTATTAGTTAAGAAATCATAAATATATCTCTACTTATCTAATAACTATAAGCAAAATAAAAACACTCGAAATGTGGGACAAATTTAAACGCTTTTTATTCAAAACAAGAACTTTTATACATGCGGCTTTTTTCTGAAGTAGGGCAGTGTAATGTTTCCTAAAAAAAACTTAGGGTTGAATACAGTATTACTTAGGCATTCTAAAACTGAAATAAAATACAAAGTATTCAATTTAAAA